TTCACTTGCACTTTGCACATTCTGGAATAATTTCCATCGTTGCCCAAATTCTGAGGCAGATTTTGCGTGGCGAGAAGCTGCTGGAACTGTGTATGACTTTATGTACGCTATTATATTTATTATAGTTTCTGGGATATGAGGATGGGTCCTTTGACCCAAGGGCTCATTCTGATGCCACGGATTCCTATGGAAAAGGAATTAATAGCCCCCTCTGTGGGTGGGGCCTGGCTCTCACCATTTGGGGGTCTTAGACTCTCCAGAGCTACTTAACAGATTAAGGAAACCCCGGGCATTCAGAAGGCACTTGAGTATTTCAGGCGAAGCTGCTAAATCACGCTAAGAAAATGGTGACACCTTTGCCTCAACCGTGTAAAGAGCATGTGGGGACGTGGGAGAAAGGTTGGGTTTATTTTATCATTATTTTTTAAATTATTTTTTTCTAATATTTATTTATTTTTGGGAGAGAGAGAGAGAGAGAGAGAGAGAGAGAGAGAGAGCGCGCGCGCAGGGGAGGGGCAGAGAGAGAGGGAGACACAGAATCCGAAGCAGGCTCCAGGCTCCGAGCTGTCAGGACAGAGCCTGATGTGGGGCTCGAACTCACGAACCGTGGGATCATGACCTGAGCCAAAGTCGGACGCCCAACCGACTGAGCCACCCAGACGCCCCTAAACAGGAACCATTTGCGCTTTACGGGTGAGGATCGGAGCAAAGAAGCAAGACCCAGGCTCGCCCCTTTGAGGGAGGGGCGTGGGGACGTCCGCAGACTTCCTCCAGGTCGGGGAGGCCCGGGTGCAGGTGCACGTGCGGCCCAGGGGTTGACCCTACCCAGTGTTGCTGCCGTTATACCCAGTGCTCCCTGGAGCCTCGCAAGTGAGCTGTGTGTTCAGGGGGATTTGTTGTCAAAACCATAATGTGTGTCTCTGTTCACCGAGTGAGAAGCCACCAGGCCAACCAAAGTCTATGCTTCCGTCTTGTCACGGGAAAACACACATGATTTTTCCCTTTATTCCTTAGATATGCGACTCTCCCGTGGATGTATCTGATGTCCAGAATCTTCTCCAGCTCGGACGTGGCGTTCATCTCCTACGTGTCCCTGAACTTCATCTTTGGGCTCTGCACCTTGTTGATGACCATCATGCCCAGGCTGCTGGCCATCATCTCCAAAGCTCAGGTCAGTGGGTGCCAGCCTCACCGCCCGGGGCACCCCGAGGACGTGCGTGTTGGCTCCTGCCCCTGCTGTTGGTTTTCCAGCTGGAAGGAAAGGACAACGTGCCAGTGTGCACTGTCTTTAACCACCGGGAAGAGAGACTGACCCTGATTAACCCAAACCCGTACGCCATTAGGAGACCCGTGCTCAGGCCTGGCGAGAACTGACCCAAAACACACAGTTTGTGCTGCTGCGCTAGCGAGGGCGGGCCCATGTTCGCCGCCATGTCTCTGTTTGTTGATGAATTATTGATAGGCGCTTGCAAGGGCAAATGAAGGCATGAAACGTGTCCCGTCCAAATGTGTCAGGAATAGGGGTCAGGCGCTCCTCTCTGGGCGGTCACATGCTTGCTACGGGTTGGGAACACTGCCGTGACTCACCATGCTCTGCGACCGCAGGAGGGCTGGACCAGAGGGTGGATCTGCCCCCTTCCCTGTGAGCCCCGGAACATCCCTGGTTTGGTCACTTTCCGAGTGTGCCCTGAGAAGGGCCTCCATTTCCCCCGGTGTGACAGTGAGAGGATGCGTCTCGAAGCCTCTCTCCCCCAGGCGCTCACATTAGTGAGTCACTTTTTGGGTCCCATCCATCCGTCAAGCTGGATCTGGTGGTGTCCCGGTCATGCACCTGCCGCCCGTCTCCTCCCCCTGAGCCGGCCTGGGTCTTGTCTGCTTTACCCCTCCTTAGTCTCCCCTACACTTCCCCTGGGGACCGATGTCAGTTTGCACTTAGTTGTGTTGTTTTCTTCCCTGCTTTCTGCTCCCAGCATCCTCCACCGTCCCTTCCGACTCCCTGCTGTCTGCCTGGACTCGGAGTCCTTAGGCATCCGGGTGTGTGATTGACCGGTGGGCCGAGAAGTTGGTCCAGAAAGGGCTCACCCTCCAGTGCTGCTGGCCTGTCTCAAGCGAGTCGGGGACGGATGCCTGCCTCATCGGGGCAGGCTCATGTCTTCGGGCCTGGGCTCGTGGAGATCCTCGATGTTCCAGGGGTGGCTAACACTGTCTCCTGGTGTTCTGCCCCACGTTGGCGTGGAAGCACCAAGTACGGAAACAGTCGCTATGCATTCGATGGAGGAAACGATCTGTTTGGGGCAGTTTTGCAGATCAGGTGTTGATGCTGATCTGTACTAATGTGTAGCCTTTGTGTACAAAACCCTAATACTACGATTGGGCTTTAGCTAGAGGAGGACACTGAAGGTAGAGGAAATAGTACACACCTTCCCTCCCAGCCCTCCGGCTGTCTGCCAGGACCCGGGCCTCGCGGGGGTCTTCGGGAGCTGTCAGGTGGGAAAGAAAGTGGACTCGGGAGACACTCCTGCTGGTGGGAAGGGTGAACCCTAGGGGACAGGATCACAGGAAGAAAGGGGAGGAGGTGAGATCATCTGGACCCAGAGAGGAAACGAGTCGGGAGCCTTTGTGTCCGTGACCTTCCAGCACAGAGGTCAGCTCCGGTTACAAACAGCATCGCTGATGTGGAGAGAGATCAGTGCGCAACAGGTTGTTTGCAGGACAGTGGGCCACGCTCGATCGTTAACAAATAGTAAGAGAGATCTTACTGTGTTGCCAAGGTCGTTCGTTCCCTTTGCGCTCTATTTGGATATTATTTACCTAAGAAAACCAACATCATAAAGGGGTGATTTCAAATACTCACTTGTAAGCGTCAGAGCAATACTTATGTTCTTATAGAATCAATCAGAGCTGACTGGGTTCTCAGATTGTCCTTACGAGGCAGTGAACCAGGTTGTATTAACCATCGTGCCTCTAAACTGTGATGTTAATCGGGGTGTTGTAATTTTTACCAAATCACAGTTTTTAAGCTGATTTTTTTTTTTTTAATTTTAAATGGGTTTTCAGTTTTGAGAGAGAGAGGGAGAGAGTGAAGGAGGGGCAGAGAGACAGGGAGACACAGAATCCGAAGCAGGCTCCAGGCTCCAAGCTGTCAGCACAGAGCCCGACACGGGGCTCGAACTCACCAACTGTGAGATCATGACCTGAGCCGAAGTCGGACCCTTAACTGACCGAGCCCCCCAGGTGCCCCGAGCTGATCTCTATAGAAAATGCATTTTGAGTCTAACTCACGATCTCAAACAGCTTCCTTTCCCGCTGGGGAGAATCTCTGTGTTTCGGGGGAGGGAGGTCAGCGGAGGAAAAAACTCAGAGTTTCAGTAACTTATTTCTTTGCACTCTCCATCAGTTTGCAGTTACCTTAAATAAGACAC